TAAGCCTCTTCCTCCACCCTGTATTTTGTATGTGCAATACCCATCCCTTCCCTTCGTAAAAGAGGTGTTTCTTTATGTACAAATGATCTTGTTTGCCGGTAGTTAAGTGGAAGTCATGAAGTGAATTTGAGTGGAACAAACTTTGACAGTGGAATTTGCAGACGCGTCGACTGGCACCAAAGGATGTGAAAATTCGGATATCTGCGCCGCAGGAACGATTATATGGCACATGGATTGGAGGATCCATTTTGGCCAGTCTTGACACATTCAAGAAAATGTGGGTTAGCAAGAAAGAGTATGAGGACGAAGGAAAGAAAGTCTTACACAGGAAGACATTCTGATTTTGGTTAGGCTAAAACAGTGCGTCTACGTTGAACAGCAATGTTCTTTCGCTGTATGTTCCACTTCATCATTCTTGATAAATGATTAAAACGTTTACAAGGACTGTTTTATGTTAATTTCGTATAAGTTGGAATGTAATTTGGCGAATATGACGCAACGGTAGCTTTTTGATTTTAACTGTTTCAATTCTGTTAGCTTGTTATTCATCCCAGTGATAAATCAGTACTGGTACATGCTCGGAAGTAAGAGTCGAAATTAGCTTGTTTCTAAGCAATCCTCGAAATAAAAATTCGTAAGCAATAAGTTGCCAGCGGATAGTTGTTATTTGATAAAAATCCTTTCGAACTGCTTCCGAGTGAAAGTTTACTTTAGTGAACTATGAAAGACAGTTACTGATTGATTCGAGCTTACTTTTTGCTCTTTGTAAAGGCAGTTCTTCGGTCGCTTTTAAAATTTTCATAATAAATTTCGAGCTTCCTGTGATGTTCTTTCATGCGCTCTCTGTCTTGTCTGCTTTACTGCTGTAGTATGTAAACACAGAAAGTTTTACTTAGCAGGCCATTCTGACTTCTGCGGATGAGACTGGTCGGAATGTTTTGTTTCAAAAGTGTTACTAGCCGGCTGATTGCCTGCGCTAAAACTGTGCATCTCTTGAATGTTATGGGTGCCACGGCTTTTCGCATTCTTTCCGGACTTTACGGCACGCTGCCTGAGCCACTGATATGCATTACTGGGATCCCCCTTACAGATATTTTGTTTCACTGTACATTTGTTGCTGAACTGTGTGCGTCACGTTGTCCATTCTCTCATTTGTAATATTTGTAATTTTTTTTTCTAAAATAAATTCAACGCACGAAATATGTCAAGTTCTCGAATGGAGGGAGACACAACGTCAACAGTTTCCCTTCAAAGGACGTCCTCTCCGTCTTGCAAAGTAAAAAACTGAGGTTGCAGATCCTCTGCCTGCATGTGGAGAGAAAGGGCGTCAGTCTGGGAAACGTTGCATTTATAGGGTCGCTTGAGTCTCCAGCAAGCATAACTATCAGTTTTTCACATGAAGTCAGGTCGCTTTCCCAAAGCAACAGCAGTTCATCGAAGAAATGCAAGTTTGAAGGAATTCGTGAGAGGACTACGAAATT